TTCACTATAGCTCTATAGCGAAGTTGAAGTTCAGGACATAAAATTCGTTATATCAAGGGTTGACTGTATATTAAAATAATTATTTATCTAATTAAATTTTATGAGTTTTTCATTAATATAATAATAAGCTTCACCACAAGAAATATTACCTAAATACTTCTATCTATCAGGAGTATCATCATTCCTTACCACCTTACAAACTTGTTTTGTCAAAGATTCAAATCTCTTTTTATAATCCCTATAAGTTTGTTAGATAACTATTGCATAGAAATTTTTAAAGTTATAATTATAGTATTTAAAAATCAAGTATTCTATGATTGCTTTATTGAATTTCTTAAATTCCTTGAAAAAAACTTTATATTGTATATAGTGTTTTCAGCTAATATTTTATTCGCATAAGTGTGACAGATAAACAGTTCTACTAAGCGATCAAACAATTTCTAAATTTTATGAAAAATATATTAATTGCTTTCTGATTTAATAAATAATCTTGTTTAGAACTTAAAACATTTCTTCTGACTAATATTAGATAATTGATTACTGTCCTATTCTTTAATCTTAACCTAGTGTCTTTTGATTGATTAAGATATTTTATAGATAATAGTAAGTTATTTTGTTTTACGAACAGAGATAAGATAAATAATTTGTCTGTATTATTTTGCAAATTGAGGGTTGAAGATTTGTAATTTTACTAGATACATTTTCTAATAGCTTCTCATAATGATAAGATATTAATAAACATGACTTATTCTCAGTTTTAAGCTTCATTTATATCTACTTGTTCTAACACTGTGCAGTATTTAGACATGATCAACATTGATCGATAGATTGATCAACCAGAATCTAACTTACGTTAGTATATACACCCACTTGTTCAGTTACAAAGAAATTCCTTATAGACAATCATATAGTTTTATATATCGCACAATATCTGAATCTTTAAAATATGAACAATTCCAATATTTTATTAAATCTTCAGGTTAAGCTGATATCCATATCTATGTCACCTGTTAAAGTATGTTTTGACTCTATATTAGTAATCTTTACTAATTTCTAATAATCAAAACAAATAGCTATTCTACTTTTATAAACACTAGATCTATGATAGTCATATAAAATATCTTTTGACTGGTAATTTTATCTGAATGATGCGAAAGGTAAAATATATGATAAAAGCTTTCTTTTTTCTCCTCAATAATCAATGCTTACAAAGTGATTTTTTTACACAAATAGCCTATTGCTAAAGAGTTTTATAAGATCTAATGACAAATTTTATCAAAATTGAAATTTTAATTGCATCTTAATTTTATTAAATTTAAACTAAAATATAATAAAATATTAATTTTAGTCAAAAATTTCTCAGAACTTGATTTTCTTAGATCACAACCTATATTATTTTTTCACTTTAAAAACCTTTTTGAATTGATTAGCATAATAATAATTGTAATTCATAACATATGCTCTAAGATATTAAATCTAGGATGATTATTAACTAATTTAGACACAATTTTATTATAATCCTTATCTAAAATAATGTCAATATACTTATTAGGTCTTGGTTTGTTAATACATTTTACGATTATAAGTAGATTATAACAGATATAATAATATTATTGATTTTATAGTGTTTTTATCAATTTTAGCTGATTTAAGCAATATTATACTCTAATAAATACAAATTCATTTTATTCAATACAGATTTATATTTTTGATTTGGTTAAATTAGATCCGATCACAATAGAAGGTTAAATTATAAAATTTGTATTACTCCTAGCTTCCAGTCACTTTCCAGCATTTCCTCACAACCTTCCCGCAACTCAAATCACAGAATTGTGCTACAATACTATACTGTTTATTTATTCAATAATCAGTTTACACAACATATACATAAGTTAAAAATATGTCTTATTGGGTGAAACTTTATTAATATGCTTTTTGGTTACATAACTGTTTATCGTAAACAATGATAACCACTTTGGCAGGGTTGGGAAGTATAGTGTTAATACAATGATTAGTACAGTTAATACAGTTAGTACATTATAATAATTAATATAATAATTAGTACAAGTACAGTACAAGTACAGTGATAATTTTATCTAGTACATACATGTCACAGACTGAAGTCAGGGTTGGGAATTTTGCATGTCACAGGCGCAAAAATGTGGCGCAGTAATAGTATTTGATTACCCCTGCGTACCCATCAAAAAAAGTCACGAAATGGCCGACATTAAGGATCGGTAACATGCATGATCATGCATATGAGCCTGAATGTGGGCTGATGTAACATTTTTTGATGGGTACTCAGGGAAGTCTAGTATTTTATCTACGAACTGAATAAAAAATCACGTGCGCGTTCCGAAACGGAACGCCGATCACTTTTGCCAACAAACAAAATACAGTATGTTAAAAATCATGAGGCGTGTAAAAAAAATCACAGCAATCATTTCATCAATTTATTTTTACCTGTAAAAAACATAATACCATGACCTAGATGCAAGTTGCATAAATTGTAACATACCATGGTAAATAATTTAAGATACACGTACTGCAGTACTATAGATGCATACATCAAACCGAGAAATCGTAATAGATAATAATCTCTGCAAAAACAGGACAAATAAGTGTAAAATCATAACTTTATAAATTGTTTGTACAATACTAACCTTTATTTGAAGCATTATACGTGAAATTTTAAGAATAGATTCAAGTTCTTCATATTTTGTTGGGATATAAAGATCCGCTAAATTGACAGATACCTCCAATGTAGACAATTAACATAGCACGTATGAAAAAATATGATGAAAGAAATCCAGGCATTAGTTCCGGCATGAAGGACAGGCTTTGCCACTCTCATTAGATATTGACTCAATTAAATTTCGATGCATGTCTCTTAAGGCCTTTTGTAATTTAAGAGTATTCTTAAGAATCTTTGACATATCTTCACATTTGGAACCAGTTCTCTCACAAAGGGAAAACTCTCGACCCCAGTACAATTCTTTCCCTAAATCATGTTTCTGAAAATTGATGTTAGCAAACACATTAATAATTGACATTAAAAACCTTTAAGAATGTTCCATACTGTAAACATCCAATCAAGATGGTATCCTTCTGTATTACTTGATGCATCTATAGCTTCTGTTCGACGATTCCTGGAAGCCCTCGATACTACCTCACCACTAGGAAAAATCGTAAGCATTGTTACCGATAATAACAAATAATAATAAAAAAAATAAACTTACAAATGACTATCTAATATAGTATCGAAACAAGAAAATATGTGTCTCTTTATAAACATTTCAATGTCTCGTTCAGAATTTTGTCGCTGAGGGATTCCTTTTGCGATCATTTCGCATCTGATTGAAATTATATATGATGTAAAGCTCATTAAACTGCATGTGTATTTAATACTAAATTATTGAATGAACTTACGTAAACCTAATTAAATCGAAAATGAATGCAACATCATCATTCGTGTGATCTTCGTTAGATAACGGGATTTCATCATGAAAGTTTTTATCATCATTTTTCGAAAGTATCTTTATCCTCAAAGAGATCATCATCAGATTCTTCGGGTGTTTTTTCTTTAATGTTATTTAATATTTTTTGCAGTTCAAGAATTGCGCCTTGTGTACCCCCTTGGGCCTTACAACATGCGAAGTTGATTGCCATCAAGCTGTAAAACAAAAAATTAAAAAGATTTCAAATAAAAATTACTTTAATCTTCATAACATACTTTTACTAAAGAATAGAGATATCTCTGCCATAGGTTCCAAGATCGTCCAATTTTTAAGAGAAGATGAAATTGCTGTATTTAATTCTGATAATTCATTTTCTGATAAAAGGTTCATGATTCTTTGGTCATATAAATCAATGATTTTCCACAAGATTGGACTAAACAAAATTTATAAGTCTGGATACACAAATAACGACACAATCAGCATTTACCAAACATTTACTTAAATGACAATTCATATCGGATTTTTGTATCATTATTAGAAAACATTGCAGAAGTTAACAATTGTTGTTCCCGTGCTATTTTATCTAGCCAATTTTGTTTTGGTGTACTTAATTCCCACTCAATCGGAGGTTCTTCAGTCTGCAAATTAAAGATGAGGGACGAAATTCAAAAAAGGCAATTAATAAACAGCCGAAACTATATTAAAACATAGTGAGGGGTACGACGAAACCCCGAAACCCGAAATTAGCCGAAACTATATTAAAAACATAGTAAGGGATATGACGAAATTATTTTGAGGGAGTTTCGGCTGGCATCTTTACTGCAAATACATCCAAAAGTTCGTGAGTCAATTTGAATAACACGTTTTCGCGCTAAAAATCAAAATAAATATAAGTACCTCGATCGAATACTCAAGTATTCTTGTCCATTCTAAACATGTTCATGTTGTACTTTCGCACGATAAATCCTAGTAATAAAGATGAGTTAGAAATAAAGTGGTGTCGATACTCAATAGCATATCAAAGTGTACTAAATTCATGTACCTCATGTCGACTACGTTTTTCATTTGACGAGCCTTCTTTGTTGTCATCGTTGTCATCCTGTGACCTTTTTTTTTATATTTGTCGTTCCTTGTAACAGCTCCGATAATTTTTGCGACGAATATATTACTTTTTAGAAGAGTATATTTTTTCTTCTATGTGCTGGACCCTCTCAGTGAGTTGCAGATCACAGTAACACTCGTAGAAATTATGGTACCATTCCTTATAACGCTCTAGGATTGACTCTCCTTCAAAAGTACTGAAATTTGCTAATTCTTTGCAAAACGAAATTACACTGACGGGATTTTTTTATGATTAGTTTTTGAGATAATGTTGAGAGAATTAATCCAATCTTCGTAAACTGTGGTCCAGCTTGGAATTATATCTTCGGTTTCCAAACGATAATTTAGGTAATGCTTAAGCCTCCAGTCTTGGGCACCTACTTTTTTAAAATAATCGTCAACATCTAAATAATCAGGTGCCAAAAAATTTACGTGGACATTCGATCTTAATGTCGCGGACATATTGTTCTTGTAAAAAGCGCTTTTACAGCTAATTTCATAATTCATAGACCATTAATAATTTTTCAGTCACATTCAGTCTAATATTTTATAGTAATTTTATTATAAAATATTTTCAGTCGCATTCAGTCACAATTTATTAGTAGTTCACGAATTATACGTAGTTTTAAGTACCTAACACGATTAATCGATTCGCGATTCTATATCACATGACCAGTAACACCCTGTCGTGGTGTAACAACTGCAAATGCTGTTATGTTAAAAAACGATTTAATAGTGTTTGCTCGTTGCTTGTATTTTTGGGTATGTAACTATGCTGAAGTTTCCCATGTCGGCCAGTCTCTGGCGGTGAGAACTTCCCTTGTGTCTTTGAATATTTAGGAGAAGCCATAGCTTCGTGTCGGCCAGTCTCTGGCAGTGAAGTTATGAGTTACTTGTAGCTAACAACTGTTCGCGTCGGTCAGTCTCTGGCGGTGACAGTTGATTTATTGATTTTGCTGAAGTTTTCCATGTCGGCCAGTCTCTGGCGGTGAGAACTTCCCTTGTGCCTTTGGATACTTAGGAAAAGCTATAGCTTCGTGTCGGCCAGTCTCTGGCGATGAAATTATGAATCAGTGAATATTCAAGTTATTTCTTAGTAGTTACAGCCCTTATCAGTCAATCGGATAATAACACATCACATGGTTAAAATTTATAAATGCGAAGTGAGACTTTATTATTAAGAAAAAAGAAAGAAATAAGTGATGCTATCAAAGAGGGAGGGAGTACGCGGATCCTAGGCCATTAATCCAGCATCGAGTTATTTCTTCGCTCTCTCACATTTACGAAAAATATCTATAACTAATTTGTTTCTACATTTACTGCTAATTACGTGATTCTCACCCCCATACTTTTACTATACTAGATTTCCGAAATAAATTATTCCACCCATATCTACCCGCAAATTCCACAAGATTAAGTAGCAACTGAGGTAAAAAAATAATGCAAGACATTTCCGATACACTTACCACTACAATTAATTTTCACAACGTTCCATTCCGCCTGAATTGATTGCTTAATATTTTCTGCGTTATCGCCGGTACGATACTGCGCAAAGTTTCAAGAATTCGGCACGTGAAGATGCTTATGACGGAAAAATTATTTGATATACCGCGCAAGACTTAACTTTCAGATAATCTAAATCAGGTAAATTAAATATTATATACTCTGGTTGTAAATGCTTTTATTTATATTATATAATATTAAATATTTTATATACAATTTACGTTACATTAGTATGTTATAACAAATTTTAACACTCGCAAAAAAAGTTGGATGGAGCTTTAAAGATTTCCTTTATATTTAATAATATTTTCGTTTTATGGGAAGATATTGAAATTGGATTAATTTGCTACCAAAAATCTTCAGTAGCAAAAGCTGGTCAATACGATTTAAAAACAAGTGAAGCATTTATAGCTAAAATTAAAAAAAATAAAAAACTTCAATTATGTGTATATCAAGATTAAGAAAAGGTTAAATGTAAAGCAACTGTTTTTGGAAGTGCTGTTATTCAAGATCAAACTTTATCAGAAAAAAAATTCGGATAATTACCGTAAAATCGTGAAAATAAGCACCCTTTTTTTGCAGTCATGTGATCATCAAAATCAGTAGGGATGCTTATTTTT